ATAGACCCAGTTGAGCAGCCAGATCACAGTAGCTACATGAGTGGACCTAGTTGAGACAAGCAGAAAAACTACCCTCTGAAAGAAGGTATACAGATGGGCAACAGATACATGAAAAGATGCTCAACATCACTAATCATTAGGAAAGTGTAAATAAAAACCACAGTGAGAAGTGTAGATCAAAACCACTCACTCCTGTTAGAATGAACATCATTAAAGAGACAAGAAATAACAGGTGCTGACGAGGATGTGGAGTAAAGGGAAACTTTGGACACTGTTGGTGGGATTGTCAACTGGTGCAGCCACTAGAAAACAGTATGGAGTTGCCTCAAAAAATTAAAAATAGAGCTACCATATGACCCAGCAATCTACTTCTGAGTATTTATCTGAAGAAGATGAAACATTAACTTGAAAAGATACCTGCACCCCCATGTTCATTGCAGCATTATTCACAAGAGCTAAGACATGGAAGCAACCTAAGTGTCCTTTGATGGATGAATGGATAAAGAAGTTGTGGTATATATGTATATTTATATATGTATTTATACACATGTATATACATATATGTATAGACATATGTCTATACGTATGTATAGACATATACACATATATGTATAGACGTATACATATATATATACATACACAATGGAATATTATTCAGCCATAAAAAGGAGGAAATCCTGCTATTTTCAACAACTTCGGTAGACCTTGAGGGTATTATACTAAGTGAAATGTTCAACAGACAAAGACAAACACGTTATGATCTCACTTCTTTGTGGAATCTAAAAACAAAAACCAAAAAATCTCCCCCAGCCAAACTCACAGAAAAAGAGATCAGGTTTGTGGTTACCGGAGGCAGAGGGTGGAAGGAGGGTGAATCTGATGAGGGTGGTCAAAAGGTACCAACTTCAAGTCATAAGATAAATAACTACTAGGGATGTAACGCACCGCATGATCACTGTAGTTAATACTGCCGTGCGATATATGAAAGTTGTTAAGACAGTACATCCTAAGAGTTCTCAATACAAGGAAAAAAATATTTTTTCATTTTTTTTGTATCTGTATCAGATGATGGATGTTAGCTAGTTATTGTGGTAATCATTTCACGATATACGTAAGTCAAATCATTGTGCTGTACACCTTAAACTTACACATTGCTGTATGTCAATTATATTTCAATAAAACTTGGGGATAAAAACCTACCAGCTGAGCTGTCCCGAATTATCCACTCACCTAATTCTGAGCAAATAAAGCAATTACTGCCTTAAGCTACTGAATTTGTGGTGGTTTGTTACGCAGTAACTGATAACTGAGACAATATATCATATTTATTTTACATTTTTTCTATAAATAGTTATGCCTGAACCGAACATCTTGAAACAGACACTGGGGTAATTTTGTCTACTTCAAATTCTTTTGGACATATCTGATATCAGAAAGTATAGACTTTCTGGTAGATCTTTGTATAGATATAGATCCTTTGTGTCCTTTTTTTGGTATAGATATATATCTTTTGTATACTTCTGTATAGATCTTTTGAATTTGTGCTTATCAAGTTTGATATTTATGTCAAAGTGAATGGAATCAGTTTTGTTTTTATGAAGTTGCATGTGCCTTAAAGCTGCTGGCTGTAAATATATCAGGTTCATTTCTCAAGTTCAAGTACCCCAAATGGCATTCTATGCTCTTCTTGCCTGTAGTTGCTCTTTGAGATAAGTGCTACTTTTTGGAAGAAGCGAAAAAATACTTCTCATTATGGATTCTTTAATCGACAGCAATCAACTATTTGCCTTTTATAACCACTTGCAATGAAAATGATTCTTAATTTCCCATTTCTGGAATGCCCTAATGTAATAGATTCCTAATTACTTAACTGAAAAAGCAAACACCTTCTAATGCCTGCTCAGACATTAAGGTACATAGTAGTGATTACCAAATCTGTCTGGTTTCCTAGACACCAAATGCTAAATCTATTAGTATTTCCTGCTATTTTCTGAATTTTGAATACTACTCAAGTAAATTGAAAAGGCCAATTTATAGGGACATTTATATGATTTTCCCTCTGTTAAAAATAGAGATTTGATAAGGTGATGGGGCAACAATAAAAACTTTTTCATAAAACTTATGCACACAGTTCAGAGCTGCCGTTTCTTTTCACACTGACTACAAGCTACTTTTGCTATAATTATTTAAATAAAAGTATTTCCATATAAATGTTAATAGAACATTGTACTTTTATTAAGCCAAAGTTAAATTATTTACCTTAGTGCTTCACTATATAGCCACTTAGATTCTAGGACCCCAACACCTGCACATACAAGTTTGAAGAGGATTCGACAATTGATTTTAAGAACACGGTTAAAAAATAATGTAGCATAATGAATATTATTTTTGTATTTAAAAGTATTAATTTTATTTAAATAAAATATTAAAGTTTTAAGGTATTTAGCAAGAATCTGAAAAGATCACCCAATGGAAAATGCAAGAGTTAAATATTTCTGATATTCAGTCCCACTTGGAAACAGCTGTGGGGTAGGATTGGTTCAGTTATAGCTCTGTATCATCTTTGCATGTTCCCTGCCTGAGCAAATTTTTAATCTTGACAGATCATAGAATAGAAAAATTCCCTTCATAGATAACGCAAATATTAGACACTTAGGGAAGGAGGTTCTGGAGGATTCGGGCTCAAACTTTCCTCACAATATTTCTCCTAAATGGATTTTGTTGAAATTTAAGAAGCTTAAGTGTGAACCTGAGGTGCATCTGTTTTCCCTTCTGAAAGAAGTGATGGTTATTTTTTGCTGGGCAGACAATTCAACTGAAAGGTTTGGAGTCCCAGTGAGTGAGCTTTGTTTCTCAGAATAAACATCCATTCCTCTTTTGGCAATCCCTTTGTAGTCAATTTCATTCCTCCTTTTCAAAGGTTTTTCTGCATTCAGGCTACTGTAAAGTTGTGCCTTTACTGACCTGATGTTCTGAGGGAAGGTTGCTGGGGAACTGAAGGAAACTTGTGAAAGAGGAAAGAGAATTTCCTCTTTCTTTCACCTGGAACCTGCCCTTAAAGTGCATTCCACAGACCAGGGGCCTCTGCATTATTTGGGAGCTCGCCTCCCCTAAGACTTGCTGAATTCCAATCTGCATGAAGACGACCAGATCTCCCTTGAGAATTGCATCTCAAAGTTGACATGCACTGCCCTGGCAGAAAGCCTTTGATAAAATCGACCAGCCTTCCCCTCTCCAGTGGCTCTCAGAAGGATCTCCCTCTTCTCTGGGTACGCCCCTAAGGAAAGAGAAATAGAGGCAAAGAGCCCTGGCAGTTTGTTTCCACTATGTGTGGCTTTGGGGAAATAGTTAAATTGCCAAGTTTCTGTTTACTATTTGTCAAACAATGTTCTAATATTTTGTGACCTATCTCTTGTGTGTTAGCATGTTGTGACTTAGTCCTATCTGTTGACATTGGGGAGCCCAACTCATTATTTAAGAAGAGAAAGTCTTCTCTTTCACCCATGAGACATAATTTATATCACTAACATATGCTTATCTTAGCCTAACTCAAAAATTAATTAATTTAATTTGTTTCAACTTAAGCTACCCTGAGTTAGATAGATGTGAATACAATTGCCACTGAAATATATTTTTAGGTATAAATAACCAATCTTTAATATATTAGTTTATTTACATATCGTAGTTTTTCAAAAGAAAAATTGTAATGAACTGTTATTCATTATAGTTAGACTATATCATTCTCTTCAATTAATTAGCTTCCAGAATAACACTTGAAATTATAGTACACTAAATTTCTGCTGCAGGTGTATAAGGGTGTACACACAAATTTATTTTAAAACTCAAAGAAGAATTAAAAATAACTATAAAATATGGTTTGATTTACAAGTTACAAAGCTCTTCACCCACGTGATTTCATTAAAATATGAAGAGTCTATGCAACTTTCACTTTAGAAATGCTATGCTTGGTAAGCTGGCTATTGCTGTAGATTTTTTGAATTTCTTTGAAATCTTTCATTTAAAGCACCATAAATGTGGACTTAATGCCATTTATTATGCCAAAGCTGTATCTCTGAGAATTGTTTCCTGATTCTCACTGTATTTTGGTGTTCTAGGGGTTTAGCTTAAGGAAATTGCTGTTATCTTAGAATCCTCATCACTACATATGTTAAGTTCAATCTATTCAGGCTGAGTTGACACCAGCTGCGACAATGACACCCCAATTTACTAGCCTGACGATACCTAAGAATGATATTCTTATTTGATATCTCACTTTCAAGATATAGGAGGCCTTTTAGGCTTCAGCATGTGAGAGCCAGATTAACTCTCAGCAACTAACATGGTTTTAAATAGCTTCGTGGCAAAAGGTGATAAAGGATTGAGGATAAACATTGTAAAACAGCTAAAAATGGTCCTGGAAATAATGTGAAAGGCATTTAGATCCTAAGAAGTGTCACTTCTTTCAGAATAGAATAAGAGAAAGCAGAGCAGTATTTTCCATGCTGTACCCTTTTATTCCACTGTGAGACACGTCAGCGTTTTCTTTCCCATAATCCCCGAGCATACACATTCTTTCCCCTCCAAATACATGTTGGTGGTTAAAAAATCCACCACAAGCAAAAGCTTAGTTGGACATTATTAAATGTTATTTTAATGATTAACTTTTTAATAATCAGCAAACCACTAAAAAAATACTGTTTTTCTAATAATATGCCTCTTTTAAAGTATGAATAAAATCCTTCCTAGCTATCTTTCCTTTTTCTTCTTTTTAACAAAAATTTATTTCATACCTATTATGTGTCAGATGCTATGTTAAGCTTTGAAAAGATAGACAAATAAAACATAGTTCACGCCATCGAAGATCTTAGAGTTCAAAAGATTGAAGGAAAAAACCTTAGGGATTATAAATTTCTCATTTTGTTGAAGATGAAACTGCCTTATTAGTAAGAATATCAAAGTAATTTGTAAGAAATTGAAAGCATAGTGATTCATATGGAATAATTAGGATTCGGTGTGAAAGAATGCCAAATCTTTATTTTAACATAAAAATCCATTGAGATTAATTTTTTTCAACCAATACATTTGTTACTCAGTGCTACACTCTGTGCTGGGTTTCAAGATATAGAGGGAACAAGATAGACTCGGTTCTTGTTCTATGGATCTTATACTCTAGGAATGGAATCAGATTAAATCAAGAAACTAGAAAAATAAACACAATAATTACAATTAGCAGTAAGGATGTAACACCATCAACAAGGGGCCATGAAATTGGGATAAGAGTAGGAAAGCGTGACCGAGGATCTGAAATTTTAGCTGGGGTTTGCTACTTTTACGTGAGATCACAAACTGTACTTGGGTATTTGTTTTATCAGCTGAACTGAATTTTTAACGGGTATGGGAGTTATGTCTCTTCTCTTCCTTACCTTGCTCCCTGCTGCCATCTCTTTGAATGATGAGATCACTATGGCCAGTGATTAGTTTTGAGACTACTAGAAATACGCAAAAGTGAGGATGAGGAAAATAATATTTATTATGAAAAAACATTGTTCTTATGAAATCGGCTATAATTACGATAATAATTAACTATTCATATGTTCTTCTCTAGCAATAATAAAGACCTGGCAATTTCTCTAAATCCTATCCATATTTTCTAAAGGTGTCAGTTGCCCTTCTAATAAGTCTCATTTCCTACTACCTTTTTGATCATGTGGTCAACTTCCTGCCCTAGAAATTTACTCTTCCTCCCACATTCACTATCTTACTGAATGGCATCACTGTCTGCATGGTAGCCCAGGGGATACTATAAAGCATTATCCTTGAATGTTCCTTCTCTGTTACCCCACTGCCCAGATAATCTGAAATCCTGCCAGTTACATGCCTCTTAAGTCTATCTTAAATCTTCCTATTCCTCAGATGTCCCTCCACCACTACCTTTCTTTAGTTGAACTATTCTCTCTCTCCCAGCTGTTCCCCAACAGGCCTCTGAGTCAAGACAGATCATTCCGTATACTGCCTTTAGAATTGTCTTTCTAACCACAGATGTGGCTATCCGTCTTTTCTACTTAAATTCTTTCAATGACCTCATCATCCTGAAGATAAAGTTCAGACTCTCCCTACATCACACTGGGGCTCTCAGTGGTGTAGCTCCTTTGTTTTCACTCCAGTACCTCCACCACCTTTCTCCTGTTCTCCCTCCCACTCCCAACACACACACACTCACTATTCTACCCAGAGCCATATCAAACTACTTTCTACTCTATGCTCTCTCTTACCCTTAGGGCTTCTGTTATCCTGTTACTTTTCTTGGGAATGCTCCACTCCCTGTTTCCATTTACCCACCTCTTTTCTTAGAACCCGAGCTGGATAACTTGTTTCCTTTATTGGTATTACCCATTTAGTCCTAAGCTTATATTCCTCTTCTCTGAGGCTCACCTCATCCACACACAGTAAGGTTGGCTGAGGGTTGGACTCTGCCTCGTTCATTATTATACCCACAACACTTAGCAGGGGCTCTGTTTAATGAACACTTAATTCATCAATATTAGAAACTTCTCATTGCAGAGGGATTCAGAATTCCTTCAACGCACATAATCCTGTGAAAACCAAGCAAAGTGTGAGTGTGTGTTGGGGGGTGGGGGTGGAGAGGGAAAGTATATTAATTTTCAATGAGATAAGAGTCCTGATTTTCATGCCTCTGCTCTGCATCGAGGTTACTTGAGGACCTGGTACAGGAACCATTGTCCAGCTCCTGGGTTGCGCTTGTTACTCCAGCTAACAGCAGTGATTGTGTTTGAAGTTCTGTCTCATATTGTTGCGCTTTCGTTGATATTTAATAAAAATGCAGAGAACAGCTTGCAAAAGGCAGTACTCATTCCTGCTGAGAAAAAAAAAAAGGGAAACAAGTGAATCCCCCGCTAAGCAATTTCAAACGTTTCTGCTGTAACCTTAATAGCATAATTTTAACATTCTGGCACTGGGTGAGGTCAACACTGATGTACTTTGTACTAACACATTATACTGGAAAATTGGATCCAGAGGTAAAGCGGAGTTTCCTTTTCTCAAAAGTTGTATAGCCAAGATACACAATTCATGAGCAAGAGTAATGTCCTGAGGACACTAGTGAAGCTTATAGCTGGAGAGTAGCTTGTTTTCCCATGTTCTAAAATACCAAAAGCTTATTTCCTTTAGGTTCCAATTTATGTTTACTATTATTTTTATTTCATATTATTTTCATGGAATTTAGACTGCAGACTAGGCTAATTTATTTTGTTTAGAATATTTAGAAATCTGGGAAGTGCTATTTAAAACTAGTATTTCTTGTACGAATAAACTTTTTTAAAAATTATATTTGATTGTGAGGAAATATGAATGCATTTAAAGCTTCTAGCATCTAGAAAACAACCTTAATTTCAAGTTTTAAGAAAGTCATGACAACTCTTCCTTTTTCATACTTCCAGATTCTCCCAGAGCCATTCAAATCAATCGTTTGCTATAATTGCATTGGCGTTGTGATAACCTGAGGTGTAACCAAGGAGAATTATGTTCAATATGGATCACTAATTACCCTGTTAGCAACTTAGGCAAATTAATGACTAATACTATATAAGTGTAACAGTAATCACTTTGAGATAATTCGATAAGAATTCCTAATCAAGACAAGGATATATTTTTTAAAAATAGTACAAAAGGATGAAAGATACAGGATTTATAGCAAATGATTTTTAACTGAAATCTGAATATTAGAAACAGGCTATTTCAAAAGTGATTTATTTGGGTAAACCCTCATAATTTAATATTACTATTTTTCTGAACATTATCTGACACATTTCCATCTCTGGGGTATGTAACCTGGGCTAGAAGTCTCTCAGAAACCAGCTCCCTCATGATCTTTCCGGCATTTCCTGTTTGAGCCAGGGTGGAAATACTCCTAACGGGCAATGTTTTAGGGGCCTTAGCCCTCTGCTTCCATAACTAAGAGAACTGAGAGATAAAAGAAGCAAAACAAGAGGAAGGCAGCCAAACCATGATTTTGGTTTTTCAGAACCTCTTGTTTCATTTAAGCTGTGACATTTATGGATTATGGTCCTCAACCAACCATTATATATAAACCTGTATTTCCATACCAACTGCCTCCTAACTTAGCGCATCACTGAGTGCAATTCCATTACAAAGGGCTTGAGTCAAGGTTTGGAAGATTTACACAGAGGCAGATTTGGAGCTTCTTCAGCAGAACAAAGGTGACCTAGCATCATAATTACATGAGCTGTAAACCTGTGAAGAGAAAATGAAGGACAGCCGAGTGTGCGATAAAGAAGATGAGGAGGTTGGGACTGGATCCAGACAGTAAATTTCGTACACCTTAGGCAGGATATTTCGCCCCTCGGGGTGTTGAATGTGATCAGGATGTTTCAAACTTTTCCTCCTTCTCCTCTTTTCTTCTTTCTTCCTCTCTTCTTTTAAGCGGCAGTCCTTTAAGTGTGCAATCTTAAGCAGAATCTCGATTTCAATGAATATTCGTTTATTCTGTCATTCAACAAATGGGTTTATTGAGTACCAACTATGTGCTGGGCACTCTTGAAGGGGCTGGTGCATGACACAAAATATAAATCAAAGTAGAGATGATGTGGTGGAGGAGGAACTGAGGAGCGGGGCCCTGTCTTCTTGGACTATCCCCTGAGCCTGGCAGGGGCCCAGAACATTCTCCTCTGAATCCTAGTGTTACTAGAGCACAGTTTCAAAACCACAGAGATCTCCCTTATCTTTCCAAAAACCTATGGTTCCAAAACAGAGGGTACACATTAATTAACCACGGTAGTTGCCATTGGAAAGGTACCCAGGATTGCCACAGTCAGGTTCTTGGCGCACAAGACCATCCTATTACAACTGGCGTTTATTTGCTTTCTATATGGTACCCCACTCTAAGAAGAAACCGGCAGAGGCTGGCCCAGTGGTGCAGCAGTTAAGTTTGCATGTTCCACTTCAGTGGCCCAGGGTTCACTTGTTCGGATCCTGGGTGTGGACCTACACACTGCTTGGCAAAACATGCTGTGGCAGGGATCCCACGTATACAGTAGAGGAAGATGAGCATGGATGTTAGCTCAGGGCCAGTCTTCCTCAGCAAAAAGAGGAGGATTGGCAGCAGATGTTAGCTCAGGACTAATCTTCCTCAAAAAAAAAAAAAAAAAAGGAAGAAATAGGCAAAGGAATCATAATTTTACTATAATGAGAGCTTTGCTTTTCTTGGTCTCAATATTTTTCCCAATGTTGAGGGTCATTTTTATCTCACTAAAGAGAACATTGATGGCCCAAGATCCACCTTTAAAGGTACTGTTACCCGTTTTTTAAATTTTGTTTTATAAGTCATGGTGTTATGTCAAGGAGACATTGCACCTTCTATTTGATGTCTGAGCAACTTAAGCTAGAACTGAAATATATTCTGATTTAACATCTGGACATAAAAAAAAAAAGAAAATACCAGAAGAGAAGGGGAAGGAAAGAGCAGTTGCCATTCAGGATTTATAAGGAATAGCTACATTTGACAGTTAAAATATATAACCACTTATCCTTGCTGCCAGTCAAAGATAATTTCCTCTGGCTCCTTCTATTTGAATCTACCAAATAATGTACCAGGTATTTTTCTTTTTCTCTTAAGAAAAAAAGACAGTCTCTGAAATTATCTGAAGTTTAAATGATTTAAGTCCTGGTTAGAAAATTTAGCTTGAAATCTAATGGTTATCATCACCTTGTATTTCAATAATATTTCATTTCCCACACCTGCCTTCTAGAGCCGTTTTGATCATGAGTAACAGTGGGGGAGAAAAACAATAAACATCATGTGTGCTGCAGAGGTCTCAGCAGATAGGAGCTAAGTTGGAAAGGAGAACAGCGCTTTACTACAAGGCTAAACCTGGTGGGGAGCCTGGAGTTCTGCCCTGACAATGCCAAACTTTGCAACTTTATTCTCTTTGTGGCTTTAAAGAGATTTGATCTTTCTAATATTACATTCTGAAAGCCAACTTAATAGATATTCTATTTCTAGAGAGGGTGGTAGCCTGAATTATGGAAAATTCTTGTGGTTGCTGTCATGTTTTTTGATGAAGGAGCAAAGGGCAGACTAAATTTGGCTGATTTGCATGAAGGTTGACTGTACACTGACAGTGATTCCTGAATGGAATCTGCTTTATGCTGTAGGAGAAGAGAAACATTATTTCCAGCAGCTGGAAGGTGGCTCAGGGATTTAAGGTGCTATTTGGGGCTTTGCCAAGATGCTTGCCGTGAACCTGGGAAAGTCAGTACAGAGTTTTGGTGGATGAGGTAGGCAGCGCTCGAGCTTTATAGCTGAAGCAGGTGCAGGCCTGTGTGATATGATGTGAGAAGTGTGAGGAGATCTTCAGAGTCAAATCCCTCACTCCCATTGTCTGTCACCTTAGAGCATTCCTCTGAGGTAAGATCTCTCAGGCTCTTGTTAAAATGGAAATAGGTTCTCCAGGAGGCATGTTAGTCACTGCTACCTTAGCAGTAATCAGTTCATCAGCTAAACAAGCAGAAAGCAGGATCCTGAATAGGTGGTACTCACAGAGGTCAGTCTGGGTTGAGAGAACAGGATGGGCCCAGGATGCAGACTAAGGTGGGACAATTCAGTAGAACTAGCAATGGGGGCCCCGGACAGGGCTGGGCGGAGCACTTTAGGATGGATTCAGCTCTGATTCAGTTCCTGCTTCCATGGAAGTCACGAGTGTGTAGAGTCATCTTGCCATCTGGGTGTTTCTGTCTTATGAAAACTCTCTGGATGTTGAGCACATCCTGTTTTCCTTGTCTCCTTCAAAGCATCGCTTACATCCGATGTTTAGCACAAAGAGTTGAGGATGCGAAGTCTCCTTTGTCTACATCCTCCACATTCCTTCACCCCAACTTCATTCTTCCCACTTTATTTTGCAGAAAAATTTAACTTTCCACCCCCTACTTGATTCCACGGCTACATTTGCGTGTCTGAAGGCTCATGAATGACCTCTGCTGCCAGCAGGCTATTAACTATGGGTCGCCTCCTTTAGAGGTATAGAACGTGGAGGATTTGAAAGTTCATTCTTTCTATTTTCCTTTCGCATACATTTCAGGTGGTAGCTGAGAAGGGTATAGAGACTAATACCTCTAAAGGAATTTCCCTTCTTCTACAACCCCACCCAACGCAGGCCGCAGCTACGGTGAGCTTGGCTCTAAATAATCTCCCCCTCCTTTTTGATACAGAAGTGGGCCCTTTAACCTGATTCAGTCCATCAAAATTAAACCACCATGTGTTTTTGAATGGCTCAGACAAGGATCTCTGCTAGATAAGTGTTCTCTCAGCTGACGTCCCTGCCTATCATGAGCTTACAGACTGCCCAGAAAGAGTAGGAGACGTCTCAGAAGCAGGGAACAATATGACCCATAGAAAGCAATGAAGTGTTGAAGTGCTGAGTGAAGAATTAGTGCTAGAGAATATACGAGCTGTGCTTTCTCAGGATCCTGTACCTCATAGCCTTTATCGCAATTGTCAGGAAAGCAGTTATCTGGATATTATTTGTTTAACATCCTGTCTTCACCTTATTTTCTTTCCTTTTCCCTTTTGCATCCCCTTGGTGCAGAGTCCTTACTTGATTTGTTGACCAGTGTATGGCCAGGGGAGCGCCGTGAATCCAGAAAGTCAGAGAATGGAGCAGTTGCTGTCACATGTGCTGCTTACCAGCCATGGCCATCAGGGAAGGCTTCACAGAGGTGCCTCACATCCAGTGGAGGGAAAGTCCAAAGACTGCCATGGATTAGTCACAGTATCTCAAACCTCTGTCTACACCACAAGATTGTCATGACGTATTTCTTTATCTGGGAATCCCCAAACTGTAG